CACAAATCCCCCGGGTTCCCTCCTTCCCTAACCTAGTTATTGCTTCGAAGCTAAAACACAGGTGAGAAAGGTCTTGTAGTGGGACTAGGAGAATGTTTGTGGACCCAGTGATTATAGGCCTGAATTAGATAATTTTTGGACCAAGTTGTTGCCATGTGACCAGGAGGTTACGTGTTCGAGCCGTGGAAACAGTCTCTTGCAGAAATGCAGGGTAAGGCTGCGTATAATAGACCCTTGTGATCCGGCCCCTTCCCGGACCCCGCACATAGTTGGAGCTTAGTACAACCGGACTGACCTTTTTTTTTTTTGGTTAATTTTGGTGCAAAAGATAAATATAATCCGCCTGTGGGACATAAAGCAATCTAAATTGATGTTAATGGGAGTTAAAATAGTTTATTGTAGTTTATCTTTTAGATGTGAACACATATGTTTCTTCTTGGTGTGCGCTAATTGCTTTACAAATTTTCATTATTTTTTAGTTCTTGGCGTTCTATTTGCATTAATATGGTTTTCCTGCCAACCTTCTGATGTTATGTACTTAGTAGAAATCTTATGAATTTTCATGCTCTAGTATTATTGGAAACTTAAGTTTCTATCTCTGACTTCATTTTTTCTCTTTTTTCGCTACTTTGATGTATCAAGTAATTGACATGTGTAGGTTCAATTGCACTGCCTAATTCTGCACAGTCTGTGAGGTTGGTGTCGCTGTGAAGGAATGTTAAAGGCCCTCGTTGCAGCAGCCAGAGAACCTTGCTCTATATAAATGGTCTTTGTAGAGTGCAGTAAACATCTAGAGTGAGCAGATGCAAGATTGAATACATCATATACAAAAGTGGCAGTTAGCATCTTTTCAATGCAAGCGTCACAGCGACTTAGAAGATCAGCCATGTCTGATACTCTTTATCAATCTGTGCAAGAAACGGAGGCATCCTATCTACCTCAGTTTCAAATGTTAGACACGCAGATGACCAGTATTAATCGAACCCAAGGAGGTAATCACTCCATTCAAACTTATTCTGATCGGTATTGCACAATGGAGTCCTCCTCACCTACTGGCGAGTATGCTGTTCAAAACTCAATATCAGCTGTCAGTTTCACTCCAAATGGAAGTCTGATTTCCCATCAAGAATCTCAGTCATGCTTATCAGATGTACATTACTCGCCTGATACTAACTACAACTCCCCAGTAAGTGGATCATGCATTACAGATGATGTGAATGATTTCAGGCACAAGCTAAAAGAATTGGAAACTGTAATGCTGGGACCTAATTCAGACGTTCTGGATAGTTGTGATAATTCCCTGCCGAGCTGTATGACCTCCCCAGAAATTGACTGTTGGAGACAAATGATGGAGGCGATACCTAGAGGGGATTTGAAACATGTGCTCATTGAGTGCGCAAAAGCAGAATCAGATGGTGATTTGCTTACAGCTCAGTGGTTGATATCAGAGTTGCGTCAAATGGTGTCAGTGTCAGGGGAACCAATTCAGCGACTTGGAGCATACATCCTTGAAGGGCTTGTAGCAAGGTTAGCAGCATCAGGAAGTTCCATATACAAATCCCTAAGATGCAAAGAACCAGCTAGTTTTGAACTGCTTTCATATATGCATATTCTTCATGAAGTTTGCCCCTACTTCAAATTTGGATACATGTCGGCAAATGGTGCCATTGCAGAAGCAATGAAGGATGAACAAAGAGTTCACATCATTGATTTCCAAATTTCTCAAGGAAGTCAGTGGGTTACTCTAATCCAAGCTTTTGCAGCTCGGCCTGGAGGTCCACCTCATATCCGCATAACGGGTATTGATGATTCCAAATCAGCGTATGCGCGTGGAGGAGGGCTTAATATTGTGGGCAAGAGGCTTTCTAAGCTTGCTGAGTCCTTCAAGGTGCCTTTTGAGTTTCATGCTGCCGCCATATCTGCTTCTGATGTTCAGCTACAAAACCTTGGAATTCGACCTGGCGAAGCACTGGCAGTAAATTTTGCATTTGTGTTGCATCACATGCCAGACGAAAGCGTGAGCACCGAAAATCACCGGGATCGACTGATACGTCTGGTTAAGAGCTTGAATCCCAAGGTGGTTACCCTTGTTGAGCAGGAGTCTAATACAAATACTGCAGCTTTCTTTCCTCGATTCCTTGAAACGTTAGATTACTATACTGCCATGTTTGAATCAATTGATGCGACTCTCTCAAGGGCGCATAAGGAGCGCATCAATGTTGAGCAGCATTGTTTAGCAAAAGATATTGTTAACATCATCGCCTGCGAGGGAATTGAGAGAGTGGAGCGGCATGAGCTTCTTGGTAAGTGGAAGTCGCGGTTTAGAATGGCTGGTTTCAGCCCATATCCGTTGAGTTCATTGGTGAATTCTACTATCAAAGCATTGGTAGAAAACTACTGTGACAAATATAGGCTTGAAGAAAGAGATGGAGCTTTGTACCTCGCTTGGATGAACAGAGATTTGGTTGCTTCTTGTGCATGGAAGTAGAGTTGTTGTTTTTAGTAGCAAGCTTGGTGGTGGAACCTTTAGTTTTCTTGTCATTTTGTCACTAGCCAATTCCTTTCCCTATTTAAATGGTTTGAGAAAAAATAAGGTTCCTCCATATAATGTATTCACTTAATCAATCAGTGAAGCTTCCTTCTTGGAAAGCATTAATCCAATATGCAATGCTGGTGCTTGTAAGATTTTGCTTAAGGTGACATTTTATGTTCTATGATCAATAACCTCCTAGTTTAGATTTGATATCAGTTGACATTTGAGTGGTCTTCCGCAAAGTAATAACATAAAGTAGGGAGAAATTCAAAAATAGCCAGACTTACAAGTGGTCGTTCAAAAATAGCCCAGTTTCAAAAGTAATCAAAATTTAGCCACTTTTCATATAAAGATAAATCTGAGCGAAAACACTGTTCAAAACCCGGAAAATACGCCAGTATATTATGCTGGAGTTCCAGCATAAGTATACTTGAACTCCAGCATATTATACTGGAGTTCCAGGATAAGTATGCTGGAACTCCAGCATAATATGATGGAGTTCCAGCATAAGTACACTAGAACTGCAGCATAATATACTGGAGTTCTAACAAAGTATACCGGTCCAGTATAATATGCTGGAAGTTCATACACAAGTGCTCGAATCTCCAGTATATTATGCTGGAACTTTCCGTGTGTTGGAGTTCCAGCATAATATGCTGGAAGTTCATACACAGGTGCACCGAACTCCAGTATATTATGCTGGACCGGTCTCTGTTGCAGCAAAATAGTGGCTATTTTTCATTGACTTGGTAAACGCTGGCTATTTTTGAATGACCAGTCCGAAAACTGGCTAGACCGTGTTATTTTTACCATAAAGTATACACCAGATTCTTCTTGTACAAGAACTGGAAATTGTATCAGAAAACTTCTTGTATATCCTACTGTACTAACTTGGCTGTCTTAAAAACTAGAGGTGGAGCTAGCACAGGACCTGCAGGTTCGGCCGAACCCAGTAACTATGGTCCAAACCCTATATTTGTCTTAAACTTTTTTAACAAAAAAGTCACTTTCTGTTAGCAGAAAAGTGACCTTCTGAGGGTAAAGTCATCTTTCTTTCGTTTGTAATAGAAAAGTCACTTAACTATCACTCAGAAGGTCACTCAACCAGATTTTCAAACTTTTAATTTTCAAATATCTATTTTACCCTCCTACATTAAAATTGTGTACGGGTAAAACTGGGCTCATGGTACACCCCGGTCTCCGAGAAGATAAATCAAGCTCGAGATATGATGACAAGGGACCGAAATCGAGGCAAAGGTCTCATCGAGTCAGAATCCAGGGGCATGACGCCCACCCTCGAGAATATCGGGGTCATGGTTCAGGATCGGTCCTAGCCTTGAACGACTTCGAAGAACATTGTCGGGCAATCAAGCACGGCCAACAGAAGGCCGTAATATCCGTGACCGGCCGGATATCACGGCGGGGATCTCGACACGTATCGATGAAGAACCGGTAACCGGTTAATCAGATGATTTTATACCTTTTATAGAGTTGTACCTAGAGTAGGACTCCCCTACTATATAAAGGGGGTCTGATAATTCATGGCACACATTGTAACATGCATTCCAAAAAAATACATTATTATTTTACTGTTATCAAAGCTCTTTTTCTTGTTCATCAATACTGGCCACTATGAGCTGGGATCGATGGTCAACATTACACTAAGGCTAGAATCATTCTCCTCGACGTTGAATTTACTGTACCTTTACTTGTTCATTTTGATTCAATTTATCATTTTGTATCAAACTAATCCGCGTATTCTTAAAACCACGTGCAAATTCAATTGTTATCCTATTTTGAGGGTAAATAGTTTGGCGCCCACCGTGGGGCTAAGGATAATAGTGGCAATTAGATACAACTTCCCATACACACCCTATTTTACACTTGTTGTTTGGAGTATCTTTGATTTCAGGTTAAAGTTTGAAATGTCGAACTCCCAGTCTGCCTTTCTAAACGTGGATGCTGAGTCCGACCACCATGGCGAGAACAATAATGTAGCACCCGGTAACGAGGTGCCCCCCGTCGATCTCATTGGAGTTCCAGCCGCGGACCTGATCGACGCTAGCTTGCATGTGGCCATCAATGTAAATTTGCCTACCGATCCTGAAAACAGCGTCCGTAGGGATGCCCGATCGATTGCCCAAAATATGCACAACAGTGAAGGTGATGAGATCAACTTGTGGGTGATCTTCGAAATGTTACAGGCTCAACAAGCAGCGATAGCCCAATTGCAGAACCAAAGCCGCGCGCCAAGCAGAATTGAGCCCGAGCCGTCCCGGGAAGTCACCTGCAGAAATTAACCGGTCACGGAGAGGCCGAATGAAAATGAATTGGGGACGAACCCCGAGATCGTAAAGATGCTCGAGGAGCTGACAAAATGGGTAGAATCGGGAGAAAAGAAAATTGAAGTCAATGACAAAAAGGTGAAAACCTACAATTCCAGGGTAGACCAAATCCCAGGAGCACCACCGATATTAAAAGGCTCGGATTCCAAGAAGTTTGTTCAAAAACCTTTTCTTACGAGTGCAGCTCCGAAGCCGATCCCTAAGAAGTTCCGCATGTTGGAGATTCTTAAGTACAACGGAACAACCGACCCAAATGAGCATGTGACCTCCTACACGTGCGCCATAAAAGGGAACGACTTGGAGGATGATGAGATCGAGTTTGTCCTGCTGAAAAAGTTCGCCGAAACTCGTCAGAGGGAGCTATGATATGGTATCACAACCTACCTCCTACTTCTATTGACTCATTTGCTATGCTTGTGGATTCCTTCGTAAAAGCACACGCCGGGGCTATCAAGGTCGAGACCAGGAGTCAGACCTTTACAAAGTGAAACAGAGGGATAATGAGATGCTCAGAGAATTTGTGTCCCGGTTTCAAATGGAACGGATGGACCTGCCTCCGTTCGCGGAAGATTGCGCTGTTCAGGCCTTCACCCAAGGACTCAATGTTCGAAGCTCGTTGGCTTCACATCAATTGAAACAAAATCCAGTAAAATATCTGTCTATTACTTGGGCCGACGTACATAACCGGTATCAATCAAAAATCAAGGTCGAAGATGATCAGCTTGGGGCCCCTTCCGGGTCCATTTATCCCGTCATAGCTGTCGACAGAGTCAAGAGGGACATTGATCGTGAACCAAGATCAAACAGGGATCAGTATCAGCCATACAATGGAGACCAAAGAGGTAATGGGTCTGAGCGAAACCCTGTGAGAAGTGAAAGGAGGAACGATCGAGGTCAAAACAACCGGGCACTCATGAGCGAAAATAGTTTAGATAGGCCCGTCGGGCCTAAAGAAGCGCCAAGGTTATCGGAGTACAACTTTAACATCGGTGCTGCCACCATCGTATCGACCATCGGGCGCATCAAGGACACCAAGTGGCCTCGACCTCTACGGTCCGATCCAGCCCAAAGGGATCCTAACCTAATGTGCAAATATCATGGCACTCACGGCCATAGAACAGAGGATTGCCGACAATTAAGAGAAGAAGTAGCCCGTCTATTCAACAACGGACATCTCCGAGAGCTCCTGAGCAATAGAGCCAAAAATCATTTCAAGAATAGAGATTCTAGTAAACAGATCGAGTAGGAGGAACCTCAGCACGTCATTAACATGATCATCGGTGGGGCCGACGTTCCCCCGGGGCCGATGTTAAAGCTCACCAAAGTATCCATCACAAGAGAAAAATGGACTCGAGATTACGTGCTAGAGGGAACCTTGTCTTTCAACGATGAGGATGCTGAAGGCATCGTGCAGCCCCACAATGATGCATTGGTAATATCTGTACTCATAAATAAATCTCGAGTTAAGCATGTGTTAATTGATCCAGGTAGCTCGGCCAATATCATCAGATCGAGAGTCGTGGAACAGCTCGGTCTACAAGACCAAATCGTGCCTGCAGCTCGAGTTCTACACGGATTCAATATGGCATGTGAGACCACTAAAGGGGAAAAAAAATTACCAGTGAACGAAGCCGGAACTATTCAGGAATCCAAGTTCTATGTGATCAAAGGAGATATGAGGTACAATTCTCTGTTCGAGAGGCCCTGGATTTACAACATGAGGGCAGTGCCATGGACCCTGCACCATGTGTTTAAATTCCCAACGCCAGGAGGGATTAAAACAATTTACGGAAACAATCGGCCACAAAGGAGATGTTTGCAGTCGAAGAGATGATCCCAATATCCGCACTTACAACACCAAAAGGTATGGGTTCAGTCGCCAAGAAAGAAACCAAATAGCAATTACCAACATTGGCCCTGACCCAATCGAAGAAACAGGGAACGAGTCACCAAATCAACGGTCGAAGAACTGGAGCAAGTCATATTGATCGAGCATTTGCCCGATCGAAAGGTATACCTGAGCACGGGGTTAAGTCCCGAGCTTAGGAAAAAACTCATTAAACTCCTTATAGCTAACGCAGATTGTTTCGCTTGGTCCCACCTTGATATGACAGGGATTCCCTCGAAGATAACCACTCACAAGCTGAGCCTGGACCCGAAGTTCCATCCAGTCAAACAGAAAAGGAGACCTCAATCCGAAGTCAAGCATGCATTCATCAAAGACGAGGTATCTAAACTCCTTAAAATAGGGTCCATTCGGGAGGTTAAGTACCCGAATTGGTTAGCAAACATAGTGGTAGTCCCTAAAAAAGGGAATAAATTAAGAATGTGTGTAGACTATAAAGATTTGAATAAGTCATGTCCCAAGGAATCTTTCCCTTTGCCCAACATCAATCGCATGATCGATGCGACAGCCGACCACAAGATCCTCAATTTTCTAGATGCCTATTCCAGGTATAACCGAATTTGGGTGGACCCGGACGATCAGGAAAAAACATCCTTCGTCACTAAGTACGGTACCTAGCTATAACGTAATGCCATTCGGACTAAAAAAAGCGTGCACTTACCAACGCCCAGTAAATCCGATGTTCGAAGAACAGATAGAAAATAAGTGGAGGTTTATATTGACGATATGTTGGTTAAGTCCCTGTGAGCAGAGGACCATTTGAAGCATTTGCAGGAAAGCTTCAACATATTGAAGAAATACAATATGAAGCTGAACTCGGAAAAATATGCATTCGGGGTCGGATCTGGAAAATTTCTCGGATTCATGGTGTCCAACCGGGGGATCGAGGTCAATCCTGATAAAATCAAGGCCATAGAGGACATTACCG